ATTCTAACCATAATTTTTTTCACAAACATATTGCTAATATATCGCTTTTAAAAAACAATATTGCTACAATAATATGCTCGAAGGATCTATTTTAAAGGCGGACGTGTACGTTTCTTTTAAAGGCTGTTCTTAATTAAAAATTACTACTTTGCGCCGCATCAACCCTAGTCTTTTGGACAAAACGAAAAAGGAAGTACTGTACTTACCGTTATATTGACTAGTAATTTCGTTTAAATAATGTTACAATTTTTACAAGGGCGTTTCCTTTCTCCAATGGAAACTGTTCGTTTTAGTGCTTGGATTGGCACCTGAAGCTGATTTTCTCAAATTGGCAGCAGCTGTATCCAAACCGTTTTTTACGTTTGCGACCAACCTTAGAGCTGGATTCGTTACAATTCCATTTCTCTTAGGCTTCTGATTGCTGAAATAAAATTAATAGGATCTGAGAGAAAGTTGACAGGTAAGATAAAAGTTTTAGTAGTATAACTTAAAATAAGTTTATGTTGAAGGACTGTAAAGGTAATTAAAATACGTATTTAAAAATTGTTTGAAATTTAAGAAAGTGCTTATGGAACATTTTATACCCCCTATAAAGATCCACAACTCGCACAAGCGCATATGTTTAAATGTTCTACATCTAATCATAAAAGTGGAGTTGATAAACGGTAATAATATTTTCGTAAATATCAAAATTGTACTAACTCAAACTTTCACAGCCAACCCAAATGTTAAGAAGTGATCCTTTAGTTTTCCGTTGGAATCTCTTTTTCGAAAGGGCTGCGATAACAATTCTATTCAACAATCTATCCAATATAAATAAATGGAAGTAATTTTAGGAATATTGAAACTAAGTATACTAATTTATTAATTGATAAGCATGGAGATGTTGTTTTTATTGGGGTGGCAATTACCTCTGATTTCCGTTATTGCTATCTTGCCCCTGACTGTTCTTTTTATCCGATTTCGAACTAACAGGCGCGGCAGAATTTCCCAAAATTATCCTCATGTGAGTGTCTCGGGCAAAGTGAGTGTCAGGAGCTTGGGAAAATATATTGCTATGTCGCAACACTGGCTGATAAATATTCATGGCACCTATAGTGACACAATGGTATTCGTTAATTAAAAGGAAATTTTAAACTAAATTGTTAGCATTTTAAATTCTAAATTAGATGAAATGGCAAGCAGTTTATTATGAAACTGTCTTATCTTACCAAACATACTTGGAGCATCGTGAACAGGACTTAAAGGAGGAGATGCATAGATTGGACTTTGCGGTTCGCTTTGTAATGGTGACAACAATTTGCTTAACGGCCGTGTTTTACCTCCTCTAGTACATTGCTGAAGCTGTTGGGTAAACGACAAAGGCTGAAAATAATAAAAATAAAATAAATAAGACGCTGCTTCATAGTTATGTCCAAAAATGTGTTTAATTTTCATGAAATACAACAAACAAGTTATACCAGTCCAAGTTTAAACGGATGATACCGTAACCGATGGTACATAGCACTTATCCCTGTTGAATAGCGGTTTACATAAGCCAATCAAGAAATCACATAACTTTTCCACCATATGCTAGCCATAATTTTTGCTCCAGAGCACATTACAAAAACGAATCTTCTCTCACCATAACCTAATCTATGCACATAGTGCATATGACTGCACTCATGTTANGTTAATTAGACAGATAAAATCAACGAACACATGTTAAGTGAGATCATATAAAGTTGGTTGACGAAAACATCATTTTGTTTATTTAAAAAGCATAAGTAAATATTATTTTGGTATATTGCCTGATAAAAGTAACATAACTAATACAGCAAAGCAAGAAATAAATTACAGCAGTGAGCAGTAGTGCATGTAGTAATGTTGGTTAGCTTTTACTTACAGAACAATTAAAAACTTTTTAAACAACAGTCCCTCAATTTATAATAGAAAAATTGCAATGAAATATTTCTAATTACTTTTAAGACTGAACGATTTTCGAACGATTGTAATATGGTCAGAATTTATGTTCAATATTTCTATTCAATTTTTTCGTATTTTTACTAACTTAATATCTAATGCAATTAATAAAAAAAATCAATCTAGGTATTCGAAATAGCGATCAACGCCAAGCCGTTTCGACAAAATCCTAACATTTAGTTTTAATTTATTCGACGGAAATATCAACAAGCAGTAATCATTTAAAAAGTTTATATTCTTAATAGATTTGTTAAAAGTATTACTTTTACAATGCAAGCATTTATCTCTAAACAGCAATCGACAATGTACTTTCGTTGTATTTTAACAGTTGTGCAAATTTTCCTAATCAAAAACTAATCTATTTACCATTTTTACTCTACCAAATCGCTAATCGTTTCATAGCATTAGTAACTGTTTTAACCTTCTGGAGGCGAACAATTTAAGGTAAAAATAGAAATACTAAAAAATATGTAGTCTCGAGAAATGCGATTGTGAATCTACACTGCCTCTACATTTTCAAGTTTTGTAAGCAATTAAACGTACGTTTGTTTACTT